TTATATATCTTGTATAAGTTGAGACCGTCAACGTGGGTAAGCATAAATATAAATCGAGTGTGAAATCGCGTTATCGTTAAATCAGACAGCCAAACTATAATCTTTTTTCTATTATACAAGAACCACCCGGGCTGTGGCATGTATATGTGAGTATTTATCTTTGCTTATTACTGGATAATCAATCAAAATATCCTACCAGGTTCAACTCACTAATTATAAGAAAACAAAAATATATGCCTACCCGCAGCTAGGTTTAAGACTTGTTAGGCATAGACGTGTACCGGAGAAAATATTAGGAGTTCATTTTAGATATTAACATATTGGAAAGTGTTATACTTTCGCAAAAGTATAATTTCAGGGTATGATATGAAAAAGATCCTATCATGATATTTTGATACTTGAAAAATAATATTCATATTTTACTTTAAAACTGTACAGGCATAAAGGGCACCTACTAATAACAAAATTTACAACTCTTGGGCATATGTGATATAGATATGGGTAAATCGAATAAATATGTCAAGAGTTTTTGGGATCTTGCGATAGACATATTCTAGCTCAGTGCCCCTCTGTAGTCATTAAAAGTAGTATTTTTGCATGTTGAAAACCCTTGCATGAATTTTGCATCCTGATATTTTAAAAATTTCATCCCTTCAGTACATTTACTGATTTAATGTTTTTATACTTCAATATTTTTGATTTGAAGAATAGAATACGAGTATATTATACAAGCTTTGCCGCAACATTATTAGTCGAGTAGTTTTGAAGTTTGAACTATAAAAACCAAAGTCCGATACCTGCGAGGATCACCTTCACGGAACGCCTCTGATGGTACTACAGTTCAAGCTGATACACGGAATACCAGCTTGATGGGGTTTGATGCGAGGAATGACAATTTTATGTTAAGTAGCTGCTCTTAATATACAGGATGTCAGACCATAAAACTAAATTATGTCACATAGAGAAGACTCTGATATTGGAATAACGTTATCGATGTCTTGTTACTGGAAATAGCTCTTGGACATTTTATCTGCAAGCAAAACGGAATGCAAACTACAAATTATACATGACGTGGACGTGGATAACAAACGAGTTTTTCATGGAAGAATTATTTATGGTTCTACCAAAATTACAAAATGATTACGGAATAATTCTAATGTAGCATGTAGCAGTTTAGAATTAGTTTCTGAAACATTGAAGGAAATGGTGTCAAGACGGTTGAGTCGGATCTTCCCACGTAATGCTATAATCAATTCATAACGGATTATGTCTGTCACAGGTTAGCCCCTTTGAGAAAAAAGTTAGCTACACACATTAATAACAAAAAACAGAATGGTCAAATTTGATAACATTTAGAATTATGCCCCCTTGAGAACATTTGGATACCCTTCGTTTTTCAAAAACGTTTTAGAGACAAACACACATTTTCGATTTTTTTGCGATAACAATACCTCCTTGAAAGTAGCGTAGAGTAAAGACAGAATCAAGTAGATTGATTCTGAAAGCGCTATCATCTTCAAATAGCGTACAACTTGAGGAGTAGCGCTCGGATTTGGATGAAATTTTCGCACCAAATACGAAAAAGCTTGGTAGTTTCCCAGTATATTTGTCTTTAAGTCTGAGCTCACCGCCCGGCGTACCGGTCCGGTTGACTATATTGCAGAGGTGCCGCGGTGGGCGCTGCCACGTCTGACGGTATGGGCAGGAGCAACATTACCAGATGGACGGTAACTACCGGTAATCAGGAAAAGAGCTTCTATGGAGTGATTTTATAGGCCTGTTTGACTGACTTGAGCCGTTTAATTTCTCTGCTTTACAGGTTCGTGACTATTTTTTTTGAGAGAGTTTAATTTGTGCTGAACTTAATCTTTTATGAAGTGCCGAGCCAACCTACTTGACGTATTTTTTTTCGCTGTGACTAAAAAATTTACGTGACCATTCTTCATCTTCAACTCATAGTAACTCTGGTAAGCAGAAACTACTAAATTTGCCGTAATTTTCTTTCCTAATTCAAATCTATTCAGCAAGTTTTGCACCAAGTTTCTCTAACCAAGCTCTGGCCTAACTTTTAAATGACCAAAAATAAATCGCTCAATACTTCTTTCAGAATAACTCAGAGTTTCTACTAACTGTCTACATGTGGGTTTCTCGCAAGTTCTCTGGTCTTACGACTTTGTGTGGCCGGCCTGAATTGAATCGTTTCTAAGTCAAATAAACTACGTGTGTAATTCTCTCGATCATCCTCAAGGCAGGTTGATAATCACCAAGTACTTGTTCCTTTCGGTGATTTTTTAGTTCATAGACCACGGGAAAAGTTGTGGAAAACGGTAAATGATATTCGCGAACGACATCGCGACACCAATTTATTTGCATTGACAGCTGAGTACTTATACTTTGTATTTAGGATACCCAAAGCGGGTACAGATGTGATATTTGGCTTGACAAATGGATTAGATGTCTAAAAATCTGAATTATCGAATATTAGGCTTTTCTCCGAGGACCGGGCAGGTTGGACATCAAGTTCTAATGTTGAAGCTGTTATTAGTTATAGTCTTGATGTTCGTGGGAGGCAAGGAAAGCCACGACATAGATGCCAGGCTGTACCCTATAACCTTATTACTACTATTTAGTACTGGTCAGTGGTTTCTGTTTCTGTCCAAAGGTATAACTATGCCTCTAACAGGGCAATAGTAATCAAAAATGGATATCTTACCGTTTTCTACAAATATGCACAGATGTTACACCCGAAGCGGAGCAAGAACTATCAAAATCAGTGCACCTACTACTGATGTTACTTAGCAATAATTGCGTCAAGCAGGTTGACTCTGCACTTCCTACGCAACGCTGTCAACAGTTCATAAAGGATTACGAATAACAAAAAAATTAGACTGATCAAGTTAGTAAGACTCATACAACTAAAATTTCCATATTTACCATGTTTCTTGTAATTTTGGGGCTCTTTAGGAATTTGGTTCCCTAAAAAAAATATGCGCTCACTTGCTCTTCAAAAAGTTTTCTAGGCAGTTACGCTTTCACACAAAAGTTATCTCTTGTCGATGGATGACCATCCCTTCACCCTGAAAAAAATTCCAACGGGCGCATGAGATAGAAACTATGTGTACATCAAGCGTGGATGACGATCGATTCACATCCAGTCGGGTAGCGGAGGCCAACTGCTACACACATGCATCGGCAGGACCGCAAAGCGTATAATCGACTCGCGAAGGTTGGAAATATTTCTCCACCAAGTTTTAATGATGAAGGAATATGTCTCGAAGATGCGTGGAAAAACCACGGCTAGAGATGTTGAGGTATACTACTGTCAGAAAATTGAGATATATCCCCCCGCTTCCACCTCCCCCCCCCTCCAACGTTTCACCCCTTAGTTTTTTTTTCAAATCATCTGAAACATTAATAAACGAAGTTTGAACGATTTCATTTTTTTACTTTTTTCCCCTAGCTCCGCCGCCACTGGATATATTCTCAAAACTTTAAAGATTCATTGTTCTTGGCATAGTTGTAATCTTATGTAAAAGTTTCATCGAATCCTGAACGGTACTCTCAAAGTTATAGAAGGGACAAGGATTAGCGACTAGAAAGACCGAGGGAAATGAATGACATGGTTTTGCGTGATGTATTTTCATGTCATACCTGTATAACACCCAAAAAACATAATATCTCATTTTCGGAATCCTTCGGGATTACAATACTTCCACGCCACTGGCGTAGGAAGTAAAAACACTCCACTTACTAGATTATTGAAAAAACTGTCTTCTGTCCACTACTAATGAAACAACAAGTGATCTGCTCGTCTCTGGTAATAAATAAATTATTACTTTGGACAAGCAATTGATAACTAGCCTAAGATAAGATTGTTCAACGGTGAGCCTGTTAGTTGTATTCATAAAAGCGAATGTTACTTCGGAATAGTTAATCGTCCAAGCAGCAAACCATCAGGAAACATACGGAATGCAGCAATGCCCGACATGTGGCATAAAATAAACTCGAGTAACTGCTTTTAAAAACGGTCTCATTCCAAAAATGTTAATGGACGCCACTAAATAAACCACGGTAAAGGCAAAAATATCGACTTGTCGAAACCTATCGACCGTTTCATCAGCTTAAGTCGATCATTAGAGATTTGATGGTCTCAAAACATTACTTAATACACTCGGTTTTACTGTCCATCGAAGGCTAGCTAATAAAATCGCGATACTGCCTTGCCTCTACTGAATTCCAGTGGCGTTTTCGCAATTCTTATTCCTAAGGTACACAGGCACAAGAGAAGTAAAAGTCACTAGCGGAAAATATTTCATGCTTCGACTATTAATCAGTACCACCAGCTTCCTAGACTTTACTAATCCAGCTTCGGCAATAAATTTCCAAAGATCCTCCAGTGTCCTCATCTACCCTAGTTTGGGATTGAAGTTCCACGGCAAGTAGCTATAATCAGCCACGTGGTTGTGGTTAGATGTTGCCTTGAAAATTCAAGGTCTTCTGGCCATTTTATACTATAGTGTATAGTTTGGCTCTTGTTGGTGACTTCATGTGCCTGTTTTTGCCTCTCCATCGTCGTTTCCCCAGGTTACTCCCGCAACCGGATGTATGGGCACGTGTACTTGCATATGTGCATTCATTTGGACTTGAATAACGTGGCGCAGTAACGATCACATGTACTGTTAAGGTTAATGCAGAGTGGATGTGAGCTTTTCATTTTGCTTTAGTGCTTTTTTCTTTTTTTTTTCTCCTTCCTTTTCTGCGAGTTGTAATTTGTTACATAACTGAGCCATTGTTTAGTTGTAGCAGTTTAGTTAGTTTCAGTTTTTTCTGCATTCATATTGAGTTTAGCTTGATTTGTATATGACTGATATTGATACAGCTTTGAATATTTTAGAGGATTATAACAAAATCACGACCATCAGTTGTCCTAATTTTGATGAATTAAATAGTGTTCTGTTTGAGAGAAGTTAAACTTCATTTATACTTCATTACAATATCAGGAGCTTGCAAGCTCACTATGATGAGCTTTGTATAAACATAGCGGTGTTAAATAAGAATAAAAATATAGGTATAATTGTTTTGAGTGAGACCTGGAATATCAGTAATATCGACAGTTATGAAATAAATGGCTTCCTGATTTACTATAATGAAGCTAAGTATAATAAGTGCGATGGGGTTTGTATGTATGTTTCCATAAAAATGAAAGATGTAGTAACGGCATTGAATTGTAGCTTTATTTCCAACAATAACAGTTTCAGTATTACTGGTATCTACAGGCCTAATCCCAGGAATGTACAGGATTTTGTATAAACAATTTGGAATCGTATTTGAGAAGTACTGCAAACTGTGACATTTCGGTGTTTTTTTTTATATATATCGAAACAGCCGCGCAGGCAGAAGCCTAAATGCCGGAACACCGCGGCTGCTATGATGATCCCAAAGAAATTTTGTTGATACGATTTTTGAACTGCCTAAGGTTAGTAGAACTGGGAAAAGCTTCCTCCCGTAGATTGTTCCACAATCTAGACACCCTCGGGACAAAGGAGCGGTCGTATCGGGCAGTTCTGGATGTACGAAGTTTGACACGGTTAGGATGGGACGCCGAAGTCAGGCGGGTCTGTCTGGCAGGCACATCGCGCGGCGGCATCATAGAAGAGAGCTCTGAGGAGCCAAGCCCGTTGGTGTAGCGATAGAAAAGAGCTAGATCGCCGACGGCCCGCCGGTGCGAAAGAGTCCCAAGACTGTCTGTTAGAGAAGAGTCATCGATCAGTCGGACCGCCCTCCTCTGGACAGCATGGAACATGGACAGCATTGTTGGTGGGCGATAAAAATATAGACTTATTGAGAGAACATGAATGCAGCAATTAAGATACGTGAATATGTTACAACAGAACGGGTACATATCTCAGATTAATACACCTACTAGGGTAGATTCTAACTCATCTACGATTATCGACCACATATTTTAATAAATAAACCAATAATTTTGGAAAATTGTATTACCGATCATTATCCTCTTTTGTTCAATGTTGGGTATTTGAAAGGAAGTAATTGTATCATTAATAAAAACTGCTATGAATTTAAGAAAATTGATGAGAAAAGGTTGACAGATTATTTACAAGTGGTGACTTGGAACAGTATTTTTTCAGAGAGTGATGTCCAAAAAGCAACTGATAACTTCTATAATGAATTATATAAAGGCATAGATCATTCAACGTATTATTTAAAAATAAATAGTAAGACTAGAAAACGGAAGCCGTGTATGACTGACGGTATTCTTACTTCGATCAAGAAGAGGGATGAGTTGAAACAGAGTTTGACTAGAGATAATGATAATTTGATATTGAGACAGTCCTATATCTCCTACAGAAACAGAGTAACTAATCTTATTAAGATCTCTAAAAATCAATATTACACACAAAAATTCATTTTAGCTGGTAATAACTTTAGCAAAAGCTGGGATGTTATTAATGAGGCAACTAATGCTGGCAAAATTAAAAAAATGACGTAAAATCACAATAATCAGCAGCTGGCTCTCCCACTGATATAACCACTGTTTTTAATAAATGTTTTGTTGATATAGGTGAACAAATAACAAGTCAGATTGATCAAAACTCAATTCTTGATACATCAGATCTTCATGTCGTCAACATTGCACCCTCTATTGTTTCTAACTCCAGTGGATAACATAGAGTTACAGCAAATAGTTTGTAATTTGAAAAATAATAGCGCACCGGAAAAGATGGCTTACACACTAAAACTATCAAGATGATCATGAAGTATATCAGTCACCCTATAACTCACATTATCAACCTCTGTTTCAAATCCTCAGTAATTCCTCGCCAATTTATAGAAAGCATAGTGACACCAATATTTAAATCTGGAAGTAACGACAATTATAGACCCATTTCAGTTATCAATTTATTTGGGAAGATTTTTGAGAAGTGTTTGAATAACAGACTTTGTTCTTTTCTTGATAAATATAACATAATATCGAACTGTCAATTTGGGTTACGCAAAAATTTTAATACAGAGCAATCTCTACAAGAACTTACAGGACAAGTGCTTGAAAATTTGTAAGATAGAAATAAGACTGTTCTTCAAAAGGCTTGCGATTCAGTATCTCATACAATTTTATTAAAGAAACTAGAAAGTGTTGGAGTGCGTAGTGAAGTTCTGAGCTTATTTGAGAACTATTTGGATGATCGATGACAACAAGTTAAGGTAGGGTCAGATTTAAGCAACATTCAAAAGATCAAAATAGGTGTGCCTCAGGGGACGGTTTTGAGACCAACACTGTGCCTCATATACATAAATGAACTACTTCGATGCAATTTTAACTGTAAAATGATATCGTATGCAGACGATACTGTTTTGGTTTGCACTGGTCATTTATGGGATGACGCAATACGGAATGCCGAGTTGTCATTAAATAAAGTCAAATGCTGGTTGGATAACAATTTACTTAAACTTAATATCTCTAAAACTAAGTATGTGACGTTTTCTCCAACCAAAGCAGGCATGCCATTACCCCACCGAGCATTAACTATAATGATAGTGCTGACACTGTCGAAAGAGTTGAAGTTATTCGATACTTAGGAATCACTGTTGACAGTAATTTAAAATGGCAGAGTCATGCCGAGCTTTTGGCATCGAAATTAAGGAGAATTATTCATAAGTTTTTCATTCTTAGGAATATTTTAAGCAGAAAAAGTCTTCTCTCAATATATAACTCGTTTGTGGGCCACGCCACGCTTATGGAACAAGAACTAAAATAAATATAAGTCACACTTATACCAGAGTGAATAAATCTGTTTGCCAAAAATGCATAAAGTTTGATGGTATTAGGTTGTACAATAAATTACCCCTAGAATATAAAATCCTCTCGAAGTATAGTTTGAAAAAAAAGAATTAAGAAATTCATTTAAATAACTTTGACATGCTTGCATCGACTGTAGCTTGATACAACTCAGTCATTCCGTTTCTATCTAATGTTTTTATTTCTTTTTTTATATACATTTGCTCATAATATACTTTATGAGCATTAGCCATGCATTGAATTTGTATATTGTGTGACACACACAAGCTTATAGCTTAGGTGTCTATTCTTTTGTAGTAAATTCTTTTGTAGTAAATAAATAATAAATAAATATCAATAAATATCTTCAATTGAAGCCGACAAGCAGAAATACGTATCGCTCGGGTTACCTATCCTATTTTCTGCTTAAATTCACTTTGCTTTTTTCGGATATGGCCCATTATTTTTCTATTTGTTATATACAGGGTGTTCATTAAAACCACCCACCACGGATATATCGAAAACTACTGATTAAAAGAAAAAACGCCGAGACACGTCAAAGACTTGTCAAGGAGGACAACTTTTTAACCAAAACCACTTCATCCCCTTTTACGCTCGGCCCCCAAGGTCATTTTCTTAAAAAATTTTAATGACAAGGGGTATCGAGTAATAAATTGATTGACAGGTCTTTCAAAGTCCTTTATTTTGCCGTTCGATTTTTTACAATCAGTCGAGACGTTTTTGAGAAAATTGGAAAAATATTATTTATCTTAATTTGTTCAGATAGGAAACAAAAACACACGAAAATAACACTTTTCATTTCAATAAGTGTTCAACATGTTTTCCTGAAATATAGATATTATGGTCCAACATACCGGTATCGAAACACGTCACTGTCAGGAGTTTTATATGTAATAGAGAGCACTTGCATAAAGACCGATAGATAAGTGTCTGTCAATTCTATAAGTGTTTCAAGTCCAGCTCATATCGCGAAAACCTGGACGTAAATTGCAATGGCAGTACTGACATTACGTAGCAAAAGAATTCACTGATAACAGAAACTAATAACTTGATAATGTATTTATGCAAGGTGTACTCAGGTAGCCTTGTAGAAAAGGAGGCTTTGATATCGAAAAATCTAAAAGACATATCGAGGGCAGTCCATTTCTCAGTCGTTTTTTATATATTAAAACGGCCACATTAGTCTGTCTTGTTTTATGGACTCCGTAAGATTAGAATAAGTGGTAGAATGTTTCAAACAGAAATATAAGCCCAGGCCCAGAGAGGCAGTAACATAATAATGAGAGAAGGCAGTAGTCCCTTTACACTATCGTGGAAGCGAACCAATTCACTGACCGCTTCTCCATATAAGAGGAGTTGGTATCAATTGAAAAGATTTGTTTGTGTCTCATGCCATGGGTGATCTGAACTCTGACAAGTTGAGATAAATGGTTTCCTGGCAAACCTCGGCTATTCATTTTAAGCTAATGTGAACTTGAGCGTCTGTTGGTATTTAAGGTACAGTACTGTGTATTACGACCATTAAACTTGCACTAAATTATTAACGGGTAAAGGTATGTCCAAGTGTTTTGTCACTAGCAAACTTCTTCTCTTTAACTACCGTAGACATCGATGTGGTACTTTGAGTGCCTACGTCTAAACTGCCATCAACATCTAAGATTTGGAACGTATTTGTGGTACAAAGAAGAGGTTGGTGTTCAATGAGTCAACCAGCTATACAGGGTATTTTAAATTCAACCCTCACTTCTGGGATCTCAGAAACTGTAAGAGATACGAAGTCGCTTAAATTAAAGGTAAAGTTGCATACTTATGTAGTTAGCAAAATGCCGCTTAGACGGTTTCGAAATTCAAAGTACTTCTGGAGAGAGGCGGAAAAAAACGGATTTTCCCGAAACCATTTTAAATTCTTCCTAGCCTCATTTGTAGTGAGATTTCAAAATAAATTTCACACTGAGATTTCTTAACAGGATGGCATAATTATTAGAATTTCAGTCTGACATTTGGTCTCTTATCTTTTAGCATCAACTTTATTTTTCTTGTGGACGGCATATTGGAATTTTTTCCATTTTCCAGAATTTAATAGTAGGCCTGGAAATTATCAGGTAGTCATTTGTTTGGCATACTAGATGTATCCTAAAATTATTTTATTTTTTCCTGGCTTTATCTGAGGTGGGATTTCAAAATAGATTGCATGTTGTCATTGTTACTTATCATCCTCTACAAAGTGGCGTAGTCAAATTTTTAATTCGACATTTCTTCTTTCGACTTCCATCACCTATATCTATTGTTTTTGTTTGGACTTTTCAGTCCTAAATTCAGTGATGTATTTCCTTACTTAGCCATGAATTTGTTGTTC